TGAGAGAGATTTTCTTATCCATTCAGCTACCCTATGTCTTTTGATTGGAGCATTTACACCATTTACATTTAAGGATATTATTGATAGGTATTTACTGTCATTCTTATTCTTTGTGCCTGTGTTCTTCTCTTTCTGTCTATTTCTTTTTCTTACAACAGTCCCTTTAGCATTTCTGGCAGTGCTGGTTTCATGTTAATAAACTCTCTTAGCCTTTTTTTTTTTTTCTCCAAGGGTCTTTATTTCACCTTTGATTTTTTGAATGATAGCCTTGCTGGATAGAGTATTCTTGGGTTCAGTCCTTTGGTTTTCATTAATTTTTATAGTTCATGCCATTACCTTTCTGGCCTGCAGTGTTTCTATTGAGAAGTCCGCTGACAGTCTAATGGGAGCACCCTTGTAGGTAATTTTCCGTCTCTCTCTTGCAGCCTTTAAGACTATTTCTTAATCTTCCATGTTTGCCATTTTAATTAATATGTGGGTCTTTTGGAGTTCATATGGATTGGGAGTCTGTGTTTCCTGAACTTGAGTGACTTTTTCCTTCTCCAGGTTAGAGAAAATTTTTGCAATTATTGCTTCAAACAGATTCTTTATTCCTTTCTTAGAATCTATGCCTTCTGGTACTCCTATAATCCAATGGCATTAAGTTTCATATTGTTTGAAAGCTTCCTTAGCCTTTGCTCCTGCTTTTTAATTTTTGTTTTCCATTTGCTCCTGTGAATGGTTGTTTATTTTTCTACCTTGTCTTTGAATCTGCTGATTTCGTCCACAGCTCCCTCTAATCTACCTTTGAATCCTTCCTGGATTTCTTAATTTCATATATGTCATTCCTCATTTCCTATTGATTCTTATTTAATGTTTCAGGCTCTCTTTTCATGTTGGTGTAGCTCTCAGATAGACCCTTCTAATTCTCACAAAGTTACTTGTAGTTCTCACTGAATTGTTTGAGCACCCTTATTACCATTCCTCTGAATTCTTTATATGACAAATTATTTACTACCATTTCATTTAGTTCTTTTTCTGGTGATTTCTCCTTTTCTTTCATTTGGGGGTTGTTTCTTTGTCTCCCCATTTTTGCTGTTCCTTTTTTTTTAATGTATTAAATCAAACTGCTATACCTCCCAGATTTTGTGGAGTGGTCTTATGTAGTAGGTGTTTTGTGGGACCCAATGGTGCAGTTTCTTAGATCTCCTGAACTGGGTTCTCTAGGAAAGCCCCTTACTTTTTTTGGGGGGGGGTTCTCCTGTTGTAGGGGGGTCTTGAATTTTACTGTCCCATTCGTGGATTGAGCATGCTCTTCAGTTGGCTGACCATGTGGCTCATCCCTGACCAAGTCATTCAAGCTTTTGTGGAGGTGCTGACTGAACAGAACAAAATACAACACAACAAAATACAAAACAAAAGAAAGAAAATAGAAATGTTCACAAGACGCCTACAGCACCAACAAAAGCAACCATCAGAGAAGATAGAATTAAGAAAGAGAAAAGAGAGCGAGAATGATCGGAAAAAAAGAAAGAAAAAATATGAGAAAACAAGGCAATCAAACCAACAAACAAAAGCACAAATAAAAAACAAACAAAAGCCAAAAAGTGAGGGTGGGGGGGTGTCATATGTAGATGTAATGCTGAAATTGTTGTAATGTACCCACCGAATGACAGAAGGACGCCGCAAGAAGTCGAATTAAAGAGTCACATTTATTGCAATCCGGGACTATGAGGGGTCATTCCCAAATCTCATAATGATAAGATGGTGGCAAAGCCAGATTTATATAGGCAAAGATCACAAAGGTGTTGATTACATCTCAAGGTTTGGAATGGGGAACCTGGTTTGCAAAAAAGCAGTTTACAGAAGCAGAATTAAGCATGGTAATTACAGTTTTGGGTCTCGGGGTCACTGAATTGACAGAAAAACCTCATCTAGAGCCCTTGGGTCTTGAGACCACTGGGGTGCCAGGAACTCATTATCTAGAGCCATCGAGGCGATGTAGAGTAATTGCGCTGTCCTGGTCTTGGGACCACTGAGTCAACTGGAACGCATTATCTGTGGCCACTAAGACAATTTAGGATAATTGTGCTGTCCTGTTTCCCAGGTACAGAAGAATGTGCCTTCTAAAACCAGTAAGATCACAATCAATGGGATAGTCACGTTACAATCAATAAGGCATTCAATCGAATGGGATGACTTATACAATTTAGAAAATTAAAGTAACCTGTCCATTGTTAAACAAAGCAAATAGGTACCATACTTCAAAATAAAGAAAGTAATAGTAAATAATTAGGGGAATAGAGGAAGTAAAAGTGTTTAAAATAAAGGAAGGTTTAAGAAAAGTCAATGAAAATAATTTGACAAGGAAAATAGAGGAGAAAGCAGGAGAAAAAAAAAGAGAGGAAGCAAAGATAGAAGAAAATTGAATAATGAAAATAAGAAAAAATTGGGTAGGAAAAGGGAAGAGGAAAATTAGATTCATGAACATAACAGGGACTAGAATAATTACAAATCAATAAAACATATAGATAAGGAAGATAGCTTTGAAAAGGGAAAAAAATAAATGAAAGAGAAAAAATAAAAAAGTAGAAAATCGGGGGAGCGGGGGGGAGGAGAAGTGAAAAGAAAAAAGGAAA